TGGGGCTCTGTTTGAAGTTTGTTCTCGCTATATCTGAAGTACTGGTTGGATCGTTCTGAAATTTCATATGTATTTACAGCATCTACTTCATACCAATTATTTTAAACATATTCAGGTGAGCGATACAGGCCCTCTGGGCCTCTTGTTTATTTAACTTATTCCCCACACCAGTAGCGTGAAATATTGGTGACCAGTTTCTCAGCCCTTCAGGTAACCAATTTTTACCAAATAAATGAACTAACAGCAAATTAAAATTAAACAGCAATGTGTGCTTAACCATTTTTTATTAACAATGTTTAGTCTTTAAACAAATTGAATATAAAAGTACATTTAAAAGTAGAAAAATCTACTTTTCTGCAGGTATTCTCTTTGAATATCAGTTATCATTGCAGACATACTCATATCCATGTGTTTACATTCACTTCCCAAAAACAGAAGATATCAACAAACTTACAAGTGGTATGCAAGTGACATAAAGATGTACATGTAGTACACACTACATAGTAACTGTTTCCCCAATGCCAGATTATTACCCAGGGGTTGTACCCAATGTATAAAAAAAAAAAAGCTTTTTAGCCAAACAGAAATGATAAGACCAGCTGGGCCCCTATTCTTGAAACCGTTCTCGTATATGTCTGTACATCATTGGGCAACCAGATTTTAATTTGAAACTCAACCTGTCTGCAACAATTAATTTTTGTGATTTATATAAAAAGTTTTTTTCCTGTTGGGTATGGTGGGGAAACTGTGATTGAATAAATGTATTTGTATTTCCACATTTCTAGACTACTTGAAAAGTGTTTGTCTGTTCCAAAAGATAAAAGGACCATAGTCACCTTTTAATAATAAAATTGACCTTTGTCTTTTACGTTTTCTTGAATGATGTAATTTCCCTTAAATGTTTTGATCAAACATTTATGGGCCCAATGACAATTTATGTGTTGATGGAGTGTTAATGTACATGCAGTAATAATGATAAAATGATAAAACAAGAAATTCTTCTGATACAATAATTAGTATATATTACCTTTTACAGATGGAGGATTCCGGAACTGTCTGTAATTTCTGTAGACAAGGTGATGAAGAAGCATCAGAATTATGTGGAAAATTACACATTAAAAGGATTGATGATGGCCAGATAGTTGCGGCCCATCATAAATGTATGGTATGTATTTCCACTCTATTTATAGATACATATCTATTACATGTTATATTATTGATATGAACCTTTTATTGTACTAATTCTCTTTTGGGGCATGGCATTTATTAACTGTGGCTTTGCATGAAATTTTACATTTGCACCTGGGTTTTTTTCACTCCCTGCTGACCATTCTGAACAGGGCTAGACAATAGGGACAGGGATAATCCTGGAGGGGGCCATGGAGCCATTGACCCCTCAAAGCTGAAATTGACCCCTCCATGTTACAATTTTCTTTTAATTTTACATAAAACGTCTCCTCTTTATTTTGATATTGACTAAGATTTGCTGAAATGGGCCACTGCATGGTCTCAAATTCCAGGATTTTCCATGTAAGGGTACGTAGCCCATAGCCACTAGCTATAGTCGCCCAATTCAATTGACTAAGTTTAACTTTATAACACCTATGTGATTTTTTGTTGAATAGCATGGACCTTGTAGTAAAATTGAAGACTATAAGCCCAACTGACAGATGGTTTTGTAAATAATTTTCAGGCATGATTCATTTAGTGGCAAATGTGGTTGGTCAAATAAGTAGTAAATCACTTTCCTTCACTATTTGTTCAAATTTGGCCATCCTAAACTACATAAATGTATACATACCCCAGGTACATATATATTACTGTTCATATATATATATATATTATAGCAGTTTGATGATCAGCACCCTTGAACTTTATGTTCCTCAGTTGTAGCATTCATCTTTAAATCGCATGTAATACCATACTAGATATTTTACTAGTGCTATAAAGTTTTGCCGACATTCATACAGAGTTTAATATATATCAATTACAAGTTGAACAACATGAATTATTTTTAAGCATTATGAAATTAAATTTGGGTGGTATAGATCGCTAGAGCTGTAAATATATAGAATACTGCAGCAAATTTTGAAGTAAGGAGAAAGATGCCTAATTTGTACTAACATGATCCCATTAAAATTTCAGCAATATTCAGCTGGCCTTATCCAGTATAAATTTGACCATTTTGGTGGATTCAAGATTGAAAAAGTTCAAGCTGAACTCAAAAGAGGAAAATGTATCGTGAGTACATACTTTGTGGCTTTCTGTGTGTTAATTTGTGCCAGATGTGTTAATTATAATCCGAAGTAGTTAAAGCAGTGCTGTAAGTATTTGATGAGATATGGTGCATATGTGCCAGGTACTGGTAAACCACAACTGGGGCACTCATGTTTATAAGCACACAGTTTTCTTCAAACAATAAACATTAAAAATACTTTTTTGATAAAGGTGAATACAACCAGGTGATTTTTGCCAAACCTGTCTTGTTTAATAGGAGTACATGTACAGGTCACAAGAAACTGCCTTTGTTTTTTTCGACATACTTATATTACTATATACAGACAGAGCTCTATTAAACTCAGGTATGTTCTGGGTGCTAGACTCCTCATGGGTAGCAATTTGCATTGTGATGGACCTCTGAAAATGGTCTGAGATAAATGATACACATAATTTTAATCAAGTGCAAATCTTGGTAAAATTATGAAATGTCAGCATCTTATTAATTGTTGTAATTTAATAATATACAGTAAAAAGCAGTCGTTATTAAAAGATGGCCACCCTTGAAGTTGTCACTTTTGGGGGAAAAAAAGAAAAAAAATCAAGCAGGGCTCTGTCAAGCAAATAGTAATAAACAATGTGTACTCTCCAGTGTATAATGGTTATACATTTTGTTTAATCTGTATTTTAGAAATGTAACATTTGTAAAAATGACAAAATGAGGAAGAAAAAATGCAGTCGAGCAACATCAGGATGTGCTGTGAAAACTTGCCGAAAATCCTTCCATTACTACTGTGCCAAAAAAAGTGAAGCCTGCATTACAAAGAGAATGCTTGTTCGCTATAAACAGTCAGACGAGGAGAGAGTTTTGTACAGGTATACGGTTTCTTTACCAGTTCTCTAAAAGTCAGATATGGTTTTGCTCACCTAGCAGTCTAGCACTAGCAGCACCTGTAAGTTGATACAATGGTGCTGCCTGTGCCTAAATCATGTTTTCCTTTAGAATACTTATCCTAATATTTATAAAGCTTAGAGTAGTGGTACTTGACCTGTACCTTGATGGGATGGAGGATACAAAGTTTTTTCAAAGGAAAAATATGACCTTGACCTTGATCCACTTGGAAGGTCATGGTGTCACATATGTTAGAAACAAAACACAACTCCTGAAGATCCAGAGCATAATTTTTGGCATGTAGCTTATTGAATTAAAGGGCTATTAAGTTTGTTAAAATAAGTGATCTGGACATGCTTTCAAGGTCATTGAGGTTAAGTGTATTAAAATTTATAACAACTATATTAATTGATCTGACATGACAATAGTCTAAAATATTGATATTTAGCCTGTAGATTGCTATGTTGGAGGCCGATGGGCTATCGTTTTTTTCTTCTTCAAATAAGTGACCTAGACTCCAATTCAGGTCACGGAAGTCAAAATGGGTTAAAAGATATATACAAATGATACTTTCTTATAAACCAGTGTGTGGTAGTTCTATCAGACATGTAACCTATTGGATTGTAAGGCTGTCCAAATTAATGACATTTTTATGACTTCCAAATTGGAGGTCACTTGGCATGGGTCAAATGTGTTGAAAACATTTTACAATCAATGATGTCTAAATTAATATTTGACTTCTAGCTTGCAGTGGTGAGGGATATGACAGTTCCACTCTGGCTATTTGATTGGCTGATATTGTAACTTCAGATTTAAATATTATACATTCAGTATGTCACATGAATTATTATCTTTTTAAAAAGATTGGTAAACTATCCTTATTAGTCCCCTACCGGTGAAACCGGGGGGACTTTAGGTTTTGTCTGCGTCTGTCCGTCCGTCTGTCGTCAAAATCTGCAGGTTAAAGTTTGGGTTAAAGTTTTGTAATGGCTTACCATTCACTTAATAATGATGTTAGGATGCTGATGTTTAGCAAAGAGGTTCTTTAAGGGTCTAGCATGCTGTGGATTGAAAATGGAAAATAATTTTATTTTTTGGGGAATTTTTGACATGTTTTGGACTTAACTATCCTGGCCAAAATCTTCAGGTTAAAGTTTTGTAATGGCTTTCCATTCGCTTAATAATGATGTTAGGATGCTGATTCTTAGCATAGAGGTTCTTTAGGGGTCTAGCATTAATGCTGTGGATTGAAAATGGAAAATAATTTTATTTCTTGGGGGAATTTTTGACATGTTTTGGACTTAACTATCCTGGCCAAAATCTGAAGCTTAAAGTTTGGGTTAAAGTTTTGTAATGGCTCACCGTTCACTTAATAATAGTGTTAGGATGCTGATTTTATGTACAGAGGTTTTTTAGGGATCTAGCAATAATGCTGTGGATTGAAAATGGAAAATAATTTAAAAAAAAAAAAAAATGAATTTTTGACATGTCTGGACTTAACTATCTTGGCCAACATCTGCAGGTTAAAGTTTGGGTTAAAGTTTTGAAATGGCTCACCGTTCACTTTATAATATTGTTAGGATGCTGATTTTATGGACAGAGGTTCTTTCGGGGTCTAGCATTAATGTTCTTTAGTGAAAGTGAATAAATAATTCTTGTTTTTTATTTTTGACATGATTTGGACTTAACTATCTTGGCCAAAATCTGAAGGTTAATGTTTGGGGGGCCGGTAGGGGACATGTGTTGATTCATCAATACCCACAGAATGCTTGTTCAATATACGTTTTCCATGACCACAGGATACTATATTGAACGAGAGGCATTATATCTGTTTCTCGGTCTGATGGAAAAGGTGTATGGCATGAAAAGTTGTGCCCCTTGATTTCTGAATACCATCACAGTTCTTTCTACTTTTGCTTCATTGTTGTCTTCTGCTGTTGCATCAACAACCAGCTCAGGAAAGGAATGTTCACTTCATTTGCAGAGGTGCAACAATGTGCAAAGACCAAACAGGCAACAAAAATCTCACAACAAATTAGATTTCGTACTGTATTAAAGAAGAGTTGGAAATGTCCATCTAATCATGATATAAATGACTGTAATGAACATTAAAAGGTCATTCTAATGTTGATCATGTTATGCCAATCTCCGAAACAAAGAATTCAGTGAGAAGGTTTTAATTGTCTACAGATACCTGTTAATTGATGTACTAAATTGGTTATGTTTGTTCCCTCAAGAACTGATGCTTATAGAATTCTCTGGGGAGTTAACTGAGTAACTTAAATAACAGGTGAGCAATGCAAGCTTGATGGACCTGTTTTAATTAGGTGTAGTTACTTTCTTTTTCCTCAAGTGTGTTCAGATCAGCAGGTCACTCATTTGTAGTATAATCTAAACTAAAAGTTCAATACAGTAGCACAATTTAGTAATTTTTATGCATTGGACTGTTTATGTTCATACTTGGGCTGCAAACATTGTAAAATGAAAGTAGAGTTTTTAAAAATTTGATTCTACATATTGTACCATTTTAATACAAACTTTTTTCCATGCAGAGTTTTTTGCTGTCCTGAGCATGAACAATATTTCAAGAATCACAAAGGTAGGTAATATTGTAAACTAATATGTACAGTTTAAGTACAGGGTTCAAACTGGGAAGGATTGTCATGGTGCCACACATGTATGATGTCCTGCTCTTTTTAACTAGTGATATTAGAGGCACGGTAGTTTAGTTGTAGGATGCTGGGTTCGTGACCGATGTGTTGCGGGTTTCGAGTCGCGGCGCGGCACTGTGTTGTATCTTTGAGCAAGATACTTGACTTTGGTTGTTCCAGTCTACTCAGCTGAAAATGAGTACGTGGTTGGGCAGTGCTAGAGTTGTTGAATGCTAGCAGTGATCTCCGAAAATGGCAGCACCGACTGTGTGCTCCCCAGGGAGATGAGGAAGATATTGGCTGGTTGCAAAGGCCCTATAACCACGGATAATAATTTGTAAACCGCTTTGAGATGACTTACAAACTAGGTTGTGATAAAGGGTATAAGAACCTCAAATTATAACTATTATTATTATAATCTGAATAATCAAGTTATTTAATAGGGGAGATTACTCATTTTGTCAAAAGGTGATTTTGAGAAATGACCTAGTGAATTTTTCTTAAAATTATTTTTAAGGTTCAAAATGTTTTTCATACAAAGGCAACTTTGCACAGATACTGTTAATACTAAAACGGCTAAAGATTTACTGGTAAATCGGTGTTAAAAGTTGTTCCTAAATGTTCATTTCGTACCAGTCAATGAAACATCAGGTTATGGTATAATGAATCTAAATTTACCATTCTTAGGAAAATGTACAGAAATCTTTGAAATGAGCACACCACTAGAACATATTACATATACCATATGTATGTAATCTAACATTTTTTGGGTAATTTTAAACAAGTACTGTTCAAGTCTGTAACACTTTTTCTGTGTAACCTCTCTTAATAATTGTTTTCTTATAAAAAAAAAAGTTTTGCCTATCTGTCTTACCTATCCTAATTTCATGTGAGCAGAAAAAAGATATTTTTACTCCCTAAGGAAATCCCTAAATTCCTCTACCAGGAATGTATCATGCTACATCAAAAATTCTTAGCTGTAAGAAACAAACGGTGTGTGAACAATGTGTGCAAGAAACTACTTGCGAATGATAAAAAATTGGACGATCATTGCTTGCGCACATTTATGTGGACAATGGACTAACGTTGTGCGATAACAATCATGGTTGGTGTAAATTGAGGAATGCCTTAACAATAAATATGGTTTCGTGCATGTGTTTAAACACATACACTTGATTATTTAGTATGTTTCTGTATTCTAGCTACATCTATAAGCTTATCTGTCTGTCTATACTTTCTTAAATTTAGAAATGGTGTTTTCTGTGATTTTTTAAACAACCTAAATCGACACATGTAAAATTACAACACAGTCTCGGCAATACAGGTAAACATATATAGCCACTTTGTACCTGTACCTGGACCGTAGTGATCCCCATCTGGGGCACTTACGTAACTCGCCAAGGTGTGAAAACCAGGTGAAGGGGAGCTATAGACAAAAACGAATGCAAATAACAAATACTGGAAACGTCCAGTTGTGTTTTCATAACGGTCATACAGTATCACATATCAGCTCTATGTGTCAGACACAGGCCAAGGTTGTGCGCACCATGTGTGGACAGTGTGTGAACGATGTATGCACGCATGGTGTGCGCACAGTATTTTTGGTACGTTGTGCAGTCACACAACTGTATTTACAGATTCATTTGTCTAATGTTTGCTTACATTGATTTACAGAAGACCTAATAAAGGGTAATTCAAGTGCTGGAACTAGTGATTCTGACACTGATGACCCATCGGACGCAGAAAATGAGGACACTAATAGTTCCAATTTCAAAAATGATGATGATGAATCCAACCAAACAGTAGATTTAGATCCAACAGATGTACTGATGACAACACTGTATAGTCCGAACACAGAGACCAAACATCTTCACGACAGCAAAGAGAACTGCAGCAGCACAGACCATGAGGAAGTGGAAGGTGACATTGAACTTATTTATCAACGGAACTCTGTAGACTGGCAACCAGAAATTCTCACGGTACAAAGTTTGAATAAAGTTGAGAAATCAGAAAACGGCACCCAATCTTGTAGTTCCGTTAAATTGTTTTCTGATCCAATGGGTGATGAAGATAATGATAAAACCACTCCCTTAGGTTTAAATACACCATCAGATTACAACAGCAATGTCATTAAACTCATTAACAAGACCAAAGACAGGAAAATTGCTGCAACATTTCAGAAAACAGTAAAAAGTCCTAGAAAAGAGATTGGATTGCAGGTTACAAATGGAAATTCCAGTGAAACCGAGGGAAGAATGGAGAAAAGGGGCAAAAAGGAAACTTTTGAAAGGTCCAGGAAAAGTGATCAAAACGAAACTGGAAGGAGTCCATCTAATCACGAAGATAGCAGCAACAGGTCGACAACTGAAAAACAATATCCAGGTAAAACTCACCTTTATCACATCTGGTATATCAATGATTTTTAGCTGAATACAGGCTGCTCGCCTTAGCAAAACAGTGCTTTATTTTCTCAAAATGAAGAAAAAAATTAGTTGATGTTTTCCCAATTACAATATGTGTGTAAATATAAAGATTATATGGGAGTTATTCAGGCTCCTGAGCCACTTATTTAAAAACAGTTTAATGCTTTCATAATTATATCCATAACAATTTTTAGGTTTGAGTGTTTTAATGCTTTGCATTTCTACTCACTCGATAATTACAAAAAAAAATCAACATATTCCACAAAGTATATCTACTAAATTGAATTACCCGAGCTAACATAAGTTAGTCAAAAACATTATTCGTCTATTTTTACTGTAACAAAATATTATGGCAATCCATTGTCCCGACAGATTAAGTGATTTACAGACACAGTACAAATCTACCATCCTCTCCATACTTCAGGGTTGCCAAGTCTCAGGACATGACACACGCTGAGACGTCCTAACTCACACTGAAACATATCATCCGCCGCGTGTCAGAGCCATAAATTGGCATTTTTTAGCTTCCAATAGTACTAAGGGGAATAACTCATATTGCATAAACAGTGTTACTGTTGGAAAATAATAACATTCACACCCTAGCTAGATACTGGCATAGCATGCAAGATTATATCGTCAAAATTGATGGCCTCATTAACCAGCTAGAAGAGGTTTCCATGACACTTGTACTATAATCTGTTTGTTATTTCAAATTGTTAACAGGCTGTGTGCTTGTTGTCATGAATTCCCTGCCATGTGATAAAAGGACTAAAAAGGACATAAAAAAGCAAATTGGAGCTACATCAGAGGTGGTGTTTTGGTCCAAAGAGGAGGACTTCCAAGGCTTACACAAGGAGCATCTGCCATATCTAATGAATGACATTGTCACTCATCTTAGGTGATGTATATCTTATGAAATAACAAATGGTTGTAAAATTAAAGGAAAGTTAAGTCTAAGAATATTTTCAGTCTTCTTAAAGTATTATAATTCAGGGCTGGAAAGTAAGGGTAGCCCATGGCCACTAGCATGAAATATCCAGCTGGAGTAGTGATTCTAAGAACTGCAAGCCTGATTGACTAGTCAAAATTTGATATAATTCTTTCCAAGAAACACACCTGTGTTATCGAAAGTGACACCTAGTCCCAGTAAACCTTTTCAAAAGTGCCAACTTCAATGTGTATTGTGATGACCTTTGTCTTGACAGTGCATGTGTCATTGTGTCAAAAGATGAGACATCACTACTATTTTTCGTAAATGTTAGGCCTATTGAATGGTTTTATTATAAAAAAAAGTCATTATTAATAACATTAATATTTATATGATATTTATTAAAACATTGATTGATGAAAAGAAACCTACATGATTGTTTGTTCATTTAAAAGATTCTTATGGAAAAGTTTCTGGAACTATATTTGTGGCGCATTAAGCTCCAAACATAATGCATGTAGAACTAGTGCATCCTTTCATCAGTCGACGCTATATAGAAGAGACGTTTTGAGAACAATTTTGTAGTGGTGTTTCTTGAAATATATAATAAAATGAAATAGAATCTAACATTCGTGTTTCTAATATTGATTCTAACACGATTCGTTTGCAACGCGTGTTTTGATTGGATACGGACCATGTTCTAATCTGCGATAGAATCATGGTCAATCGTGTTAAGCTCCTCCCGTCGCACTTAAGCCACGCCCCGTTTCTAACCAAAACAATACGGCGTCAAGCTCGCCTCATAGCGAAATCCCGCTGATAAGGCTAGTAGGCAACAGAACAGAAACGACCCATGAAATGCATTTGTTGAATGAATTAAAAAGTAAAAAGAACGCATTCCTTGTTCTTACCTCCATTTATTACTGAAACGTTCGTTCCATCCGTGTAAAGGCATCTATTGAGATCCGAAATCAAATAAAACATTTCACATGTGTCATATGAATTTACACAAAACTCTTCAAAAATCTATACAAATAATCACCGATTTTGTTGATAAGCACTGATTGATATGCATACTGACATAAAAATGTAAGAACTTGGTCAATATTAATCCGAATGTGTCGTATAAACTTTGGTAACAGGACGTTCACGAACAATCCAAATATTCCGCCTCGTCAACATACAGATCGAGCTCCCGCCAGTATGGGC